ACGACGTCATCACCGCCTGACGAGTACTTGGCAGTGACTCCCATGAAACCCGCATGTGGGAGCTGCGCAAGCTGCAGCTCTGGCGGTGGCACGCCGCCAAGGAGGAGATGACGCGAGCGCTACGAGCAGCCAAAATACCATAGCACATCCTCTGTTTCATCCCCACGGTGGTCAACGACAGCAGGGAGCGTCGCAAATGGCTACCGCCTGCGCTCCAGACCATCCCAACACTCCGACTGTCGACGCGATTCAACTAGCGCGTGGAGTGCGACATCCTGTTCTACATGGATCGCATGATTATCCACCAGATTTGTTGCGCCACACGGTCGCGCAATGTTCAGGGGTCCACGTCCAAGCGCGACTCGACGCTGCTTGCTGCCATCGGCCGTTCATGGGTTCAGCTGTTCGGCTCGATGGAGACTTTGCTCGTGGACGGCGAGGGCGGGATGAACCTCGACGTGCTTCGTGGAGGAGATGAAGTGGATCGGACTACAGGTTGACATACGAGCTCCGCGCAAGCACGCTCGCTTCGTCGAGCGGCGCGGGGCCGGCCTGCGACGGGCACTTCGCGCCGCGGGGGGGCAGCTGGGGCGCGAAGTCATCGCGGCGAGCTTCGGCTCCATGCTAGCACATGCCATCTTTGCTGGCAGCAGGCTCATCGTTGGCGGCGTTGCGCCATGCAGCGTCGCCCTCCGGCTCGCTGACGGCAGCCGCCCATGCAGCCGCCGCTCGAAGTAGACGAGCAATTGCCTGGCATCCGGTGACTGCGTCGCTGGCGCCGAGACTCCCGCTGGCGTGGGCGTCCAGCCCTGCCGGCTACAGTGGCGCATCCGAGAGATAGCCCTGCAACGCTTGATCGAAGCCGCGTCGATCGCGCGCGCCAGTCGCGCCATCGGGGCCAGCGCCGCCGAGTCCGGGGAGGGCCGCTTCGACGTGGGCGACTAGGTGGAGATCCACGGGCCGCCAGGCGCCAAAGATGCGCCCGGTTGGGCGGGCCCTGGGGCAGTGGCGCTTGTAGACCTGGCTCGAGGCGAGGTGGCGGTCAAGTGCCGCCGAGCCGAGATGGTCTGCAGACTGCGAGACGTCGGTGCCGTCTTCGACGAGATGGGCATCGGCGTGGCCCGAGAAGGCTTGGCCTGGGGCCGCGTGGGGGGCTACCTGGCTACCTGGGGCACGTGGCGCCGGGCTCCGGGGCCAGGGCCTTCGGCCACTGGGGGGGCACCGAGGGCGTGCAGCTTACCGAGCAGGCGCGACGACGCCCAGACGTCTTCGGAGCCCTGCGCCATTTTTCCCGCATGCGCTTCCAGCTACCAGACGTTCGTGCTGCGCGATTGATTCGTGGACAGTTCTTCATGGGCAATTGGCCTGGCTGCGCCCGCAGCTAGGCCATCGGGCGCACCCCTCGGAACTCCGCCGACGCCCGGCAGATCCTTCTCGACGGCGTCGCGTCCGACGCCCGCCAGCTGATCGGCGAGCATTGGAAGGGAGCTCGCATCGTCCAGTTCACTCGGGGTGATGAGCCGTTAATGGTAACGGACGCCGGACAGGGCCTGGACGGGGCGTTCGACGACTGTGTCATCGACGTTTCCGAGGGCGCCGCCCGCGCCGCCGAAGGTGGATCGCCGTCGGCCTTGTCGGATATGCCAGAGGGGACCAGCAGCGACTTCCCCAGCCGCATCCACCCGGCGATGTTGGCAGCTTGGCGCGAAGTCGAGGGGGCAGGAGAATTTGCCCAGGAGGTGTGGGGCTGGGGAGTGCTGACAGCCAGCGTGAGATCTGCAGCTGTCGAGCACGCCGCGGCCGACCCAGGCCGTGGGCCGCGCGAGTGGCCCTGGCGCCTTGAGGCGCAGCGCCGGCGTCAGTGCTTCCACGCGCAGTGCCACTTGGAGGCTCCCTGGGCGACTGCGCCGCGCGAGAGTGGAGGGCGATGTAGGTGGGCGCGTGGAGATGTATCTTGATCCAGGGGTGCGTGCCGCATTACTGAGCTTCAACCAGGCTGTGTCCGGCGACCGAGTCGCCGGCGATCCTCGGGCGGCGGCGGCGCCTGGTGATTGCGTCGCGGGCGCTCCTCAGACAGCCGCGCTTAACGTTCGCGCCGCCTTCAGGACCGCGGCCATCGAGCGCGACGCGGACCTCCTGTCCAACGAGGAATTGTCGAGGTTGCCGAAGGGGTCGCAGCCGCTATCCTCGAGGAGCTCATCATCTGGGTCAGATGTAAATGTTTCGAGAGGCGGCCGCGCCAGGGCGCCCGAAACGTCACGGGCCCCAGACTCCAGACGTGTCTTCGAGACATGTCTTCAAGTGGAAGCGCTGGCGGGGATTCCGCGGCAAGATTGTCGGGGCCACCCGGCGCCGCGTGGCGCTGCGGGGCTTCTGCGACGTTGGCGCTGGGGCCCTGGGGGCGTTCGCTGGGGCAGCGAAGCGGGCGTCGCAGCGCTCGTTCTCTTCGGAGGCGGCGCGCCGCTCCGAGAGGGCGCGCGTCGCCGTTGACGTCGAGAAGGCATTCTTGCGAGGCGTGTCCTGCGCGGAGATGCAGGTGCAAGGCGAAGCACCTCCAGAGGTAAACTTCACCCTGCCATCTGGCAGTGCTGTTATCCGCGGGCAGGTGCCCGCCCGCGAGAGCTTCGACGAGCGGGCCGAGTGCCTGCGCTGCGTCGAGCCGGGTACGGGCTGCAATGGCGCGCCCTGGGCCTTCTCCACGATGCGCGCCGATGTCGCGCGCTCTCCTGGGCGCCGCGCCAAACTTACCAGGTGTGGCCCGGAGCTCGAGGTCATGCGCATGTCGTCCGACAGCTGTTCTGCAGGCGTCTCGGAGCAAGTGCCCATGTTTCCCACGCGTGGCGACGACCTGAAGGTTGCCAGGCAGAAGGAGGACGTCGACTGGCTAAGCGGCCACATTGAGAGCGCCTTTGGCAAGATGAAGGGTGACTACGACGACTTCATCATTTGCGGGGCGCACCGGCGCTGCAGTTCCGACGGCGCCGTGGAGCTTCTTGACCGGGGCGAGTGCGTCGAGGTTCTGATGCCGCGTTGACAGGTCGACCTGGTCAGGGCCAAGGCTGACGAGCCGCCCGGAGGTCAGCGTCCTGGCCTCTCTGTCTCCCTCTTGGGGACAGCGGCCGGCGCTCGGTTCGCTCGGCGCCGCGTCGCAGCGTGCGTCGTCGCCCTGCAGACAGCCGGAAGCGGGCTGCTCATCCGATGCGTGAGGCAGCTCAATTCAGTTGCACTGGCCATGCCGAAGATCGAGGCACGCGTCGCATGTCCATCAACGGAGTGCGCCGGCCGACTCAGCGCGCGCAGCGACGGGTCCGAATTCGAGAGGGAGGAGGAGTCAGGATGCGGCATGAGAGGGGTCGTATACATGCGTCTCGGCAAGTGCTGCCGCGCTGGCAAGCAGCTGCGCCACTCTGTAGGCGCTGTGAGCCGATCGCGCGAGCTTGTGTGCAGATCCTCATTCGGCTCCGAGCTGCTCGCGGCATGCAGCGCAGCGGGCGGTCTGCGGGCGCGCCTCCCAACGTTGGGCGGGGCGGTGCGCGGCCCCTCCTCTGCCGAGGGGGCTCAGGGGGCTGAGGGGGGAAGAGGTCGGCGCGATCCCTGCAGACCTCGCCGTGGACGGCATGTCCGTCTGCAGCGCCTTGCTGGTGGATCTGGTCCGTCCGCCGTCCGAGATTAGCGCGGCTGGCCACCTGTGGTGGTTGGCCAGCCAGCTGCCCGCCGGGCAGATCGACGATTTGCGCTGGCGCGACGCCCGTGGCCTGCGGGCCGACCCCGGGACTAAGGGCAGCATGGGCCGAGATCAAATCTTCGGTGCGATGGGCGGCCAGGTCAGCTGTGGCCGCGCCGCGGTCAAGGCCAGCGACGAGAAGCTGAATGAGGCCGCCCTCAGCTCGCATCGTAGCGCTTCCTCGAACAAACAAGGGTGTGATCCTTGTGACTGTGTCGCGAGATCTCGCGGGGGCGGAAAGCTGATGTGCGACATCGGCGGGCGAGATCGGTGAGTAGGGCGCTCTAGTGGGCGGGCTCGCCCGGATTGCGCCCGAGTAGCTCGCGGATTTTTAGCAGGCGCTCCTCCCATAATCTCGCGTCGTTACAGGTGTGTGTGGGGGGATAAAATTCGCTTGTTTCGGCTAGTCCCACGGGCTTTGACGGGAGTATTTCCATCCTTTTCCATGGGCGCCGTGAAGTGTTTGTGCGGTTGGCACCGATGGGGTCCAAGGCGCTCATCCCAGGAGCGCGTCGAATGCAGGTGAATTTGCCCCATTGCAGCCGGTCAACTTTTTATAAAAGGGGTGGTTCGTGGGACTTTCCTGTTGTGCTGGACTTTATGGAGGCGCGACGGAATTTTTGGAGCACCAGGCTCGAGCGGTAGGTCTTTGCCCAATGCTTTGTTTCTTGCCTTTCCTGGCACGCTGCGCTGTTCCGGCTCAAGGCTTGGTCAGTGCGCAGTGTCCGGTTTAGGCGCGCCTTCAGGTATCCTCCCGTTGGCCAGGTACCATTCCGTGTTCACTGGGGTATTGACAAGTACGTGTTTACATATTTTCCAGTCTCCCGTTTACCTGTCTCCCCCCTTCCCCGTCCGGCTAACCCCCTCTCCTCCTCTCCGCCCTTCTACCTTTCCTCTCCGCCCTTCCACTTCATCTCCCCTGCTATATTTACTCTCTTCTACGGTATCCCCCCCATCCCTCCCGCATTGGTCAGATGCTGCGGGGTATCCCCGGAGGGAAACAGGGCGAGGACCTTGCATGTGTAACATCGGTAGCGCATTGTGCGTTGACGTACGCGAAACGTATTCAGAATCAAGTGGTGAAGGGCCAGGGCCTAGTTTTTTCGATCCGACGTTGTTGTCCGCAACCGAGCGGCTTTCGGTATCTGTGGTTGCCCAGCTGCCTACCGCGCGTCGTTTGGGAGCTGGTGTAAGAAAACTCTACCGCTCACTCGCTCAGGGTAGCCCCGCATTGACGTATGTATGCCATGCTGCCTTCACTTGGAGCATCCGCCAGGTGATGTGCCCTGGCGATGACAAGTGCGGCGGCCACTATTGCCCCTATGCTCATACGGCGAAGGACTTCTTCCTCGCCCCTCTGGTGAGTTCGCAGCCCTAGGCTCCAAAGCCGCTGTTGGTTATGATGCGTTGGGGTTCATTCTGTGTTTCAACGAAACAGCATCCGCATCCTTCTATCGCCTGGACTCCAATCCTTGAGTTCTTCTTGAGGATGATGAAGAACAGGTGGGGGATACGTGGATGTGTACAGGGATGGGGATGCGGGGGTGATGGTGATTATGACGAAAACGTTGGCGACGGTGATGATGTGATGATGCTGATGCCGATGATTATGTGAGGATGATGCTGCAGGTGAGGAAAATGATTATGATGAAAAT